GGCGGAGCCAAGGGGGGGCTGGCAGGGGCCATGGCCCCCCCCAATGTTTCACAACAACAAAAAATAGTAGTATGACTTAATATTTTTTATTTATATTAAGAGGGAGATTATATAAAATTCTTGTCATATATACCTATTAATATCTTCTAGATAATATAATTATACAAAACACAACTAGATAATAAAATTATCGTAATGAAAAAGACCGAGCCGGCCCCCCTAAGTATAATTCCTGACGGCCGGCCCCCCCTGAGTATAAATCCTGGCTCCGCCACTACCGTGGAGGACGGTGTCGAGATCGGCGGCTACGCGGTGCCCCGGGGCTGCACGGTGATCTTCAACTCGTGGGCGATCATGCGCGACCCGGCGACGTGGGAGAGGCCCGACGAGTTCGTGCCGGAGCGGTTCCTGGGCAGGGAGCTCGACTTTCGGGGGAAGCAGCTGGAGCTCGTCCCGTTCGGCTCCGGCCGCAGGCTGTGCCCCGGCCTGCCCATGGTGGAGCGGGTGGTGCCACAGGTCCCGTCGCTGGTGCACGCGTTCGAGTGGCAGCTGCCGGCCGGCATGTCGGCGGACCAGGTGGACGTCAGCGACAAGCTCACCAACACCAATGTTTTAGCCTTCCCTCCTATCAAAGCCGTGCCAATAATCATCGCCTAATTACCTATAGTTATGCTGTTAGTAGTGTCCAAATGATTTTGGCCTACAAAATCGCTTGTGGATTAAGGTTTGAAACCTCTAGTGGCGAGTCGATTTGGTGGATCCTACACCTAAATAAAACGGAGTAATGTATTGCTTTCCTACCGAGTTTAATCTCCAGATAACAGGCAAGAGAGAGAGGTTAGAGCTGAATATTTTGCTCCCCGAGCGTCAAACCATGTTTGGAGAGGTTATCAAAATAATGTTATGATAATATGCGCCCTATTCGTTTGGGCTTGTTTGGCTTATAAGCCGTACTTTTTCAGCCAACGAACAATATTTTTCTCTCACACAAAATCAGCCAACGGTACTTTCAGCCATGGCTTATCAGCCAAACAAGCCCAAACAAATAGGGCGATGGTCGTGCTACTTAATCTGTTTGAATAACTATCTATTCGATTCCATAAACCTGAGATTACTCATTATATCCCAACACAATTATACAGCACCATGCATAGATTATTATTTTTTTTTCTTTTGAGGAAAAGCACCATGCATAAGATGTTTCTTATCGCGTCTTGTGCAGCCCAAAAGGACGAGATTGACTTCGATCGAGCCATCGGGGGGATGCTTCATTTGCCAGCGGCCCGCTGGTGACCCGGGCCATATGGGCCTCCGAGTTTTAACAATAAGGCCTCTTTTGGACCGTGGGTAGATCATAGGTAAAACGTAGTAGGATTTTGATTCCTATAGGAATTTTTACTGCAGCAGCCTTTGGTTGCCAAGTTGTAGGAAAATTGGAGGCACTTTTTCTTTTAGGGCTCCTTTGGTTCACATGGTAGGCATAGGAATTTTGTAGGATTGGACTTTCTAAGGAATGTTTCCTTTCCTAGCCTTTGGGTCATAGTAAAAGCGAGAGGCTTTTACACGTGTGTCATTAAAAAAGTTTATAATTACACACATGTCATTAAAAAAGTTAACCGCACACATATGCCACTGTTCTGAACTTCTTTGCTCTCCAAGCCATTCCATCCGCATTTCGTTCGTTTTTCACCGTTTGGGAGTCATGACAAGTGGGTCAGGTCAGTCAAAATGTCCATAATACCCCTCTCATCCCTATCCTCTCTCTCTCTCTCTCAAACTCGACCTCATCTCTCTTCTCTGCACGCGCCCCCGGCGCCCGCGCCCGCGGTGGCTGGCCGGGGCGGAGCTCGCCCGCGCGTGCCTACGGCGGCCGGAGCTCACCTCTTTGCGTCACCTCCACGCACGCTGCGGCAGATCCATGACGAGGACCGACTGCGGCAGCTCCACGCGTGCCGCCTCCTGGCTCTCGCCGCCGCCGTTGGGGACGAGGCCGCCTCCCTGCACATTGGGGCCCTCGCCGTCGCCATCGAGGCTCGTGTCGGTGTGCGCGGGGGAGCTCCGCCCTCGGCTGCTGCAGCTCCCCTTTGCTCACCCTGTCCATCCCCGCCATCTCCTTCTTCTTGGCCGCGGCGGCGCGGGAGGCGCGCCTGCACCTCACCCCCGCGCGGAACGGAGGCGCAAGAGAAAGAGAGAGAAAAAGAGAGTTTGAGTGGCTGACAAATGGACCCCACCGTAGGGTAAATGGTCATTTCACCTGTCTGTTTGACACCGTTAAGTAGAAAAGCGGACGGAATGGCTTGGAGAGCGAAGAAGTTCAGAACGATGACATATGTGTGCGGTCAACTTTTTTAATGACATGTATGTAATTTTAAAATTATTTAATGACACATATGTAAAAGCCTCTAAAAACAGAGAAAATGTTCCATAGGATTAGAGTCGTGTAACACCATTCGTGAGGAAACAAAACATGAGTTCAGACTGAGGTTATTCGGGAGACCGTATCGTATCGTGGATTATTTATTGTTGGCTAGTTTGATATGAGAGAAAAACGCTATTCGCTGGAAATTTACGATCGTTACGAGCAAACGAACAGCCTGTGACACCATTCCTCATCGCCGCCGACGGCACGCGAGGCTGCCCCATCGCTGGCGGGTGACTCCACCATCCCTTTGGCGGCCACGCGACGCTGGCTCAATCGCCGTCTATGCAGCGCCACCCTCCCCAATCCCTATCCAAGATCCCAAATCCAAACCCACGAGTCTGCACGGAGCCACAGCATCTTCCAAGATCTGTAAGCTTGTTCATCTTCTAGGCACTTTGTTTTCCCCCAATCTGAGAAAATGGATTTGTTCTCCCCCCAATCTGAAAATAGATTTGTTTGCCCCCAATCTGCAAATGTATATTCTTGTTTTGATTTGGGAAGATTTTTGTTGACCTATGAATATGAGTTCACGGAAGATTTGGGAGGTGCACTTCGCCGTGCCCTTTCCTGCTGTACAGCAGTGGTAGATAGGTTTATGATTTGTCTAATAAAGATTTCATTTTTCTTGTCAGGAAAAAGAAAACACGATGCCAAACCAAGGTCCTATCGAGCTGAATAAGCTCGTACATGCTGATAACGCCCATGGGACTACAGATGCAAGTCAAGAAATAGGTACCACTTCTTATGTCAGTTGTGCCTTACACTTCATAAGTTTTTATTTTTATCTGCTGAAACCAAACTTGTAAATTCTTATTGGATGCGACAAGCTTAGGGATAACAAAGAGACCTAGATGGACTCACCCGATGAAGTTGTTCCTTATTGAACTTCTGAAAGAACATGATGTGCCGGGATATCGAACACATAATGCTTGCTCGCAAGAATAGCAAGGATGCTCTCCATTGGCAAGATCGGTCATTCCCATATTTTGATGCTTTAGCTCCACTTTATGATGGTGAGCTTTGCATAGATTTAATTATTACTGTTTACAACAACAACAACAAAGTCTTTAAGTCCCAAATAAGTTGGGGTAGGCTAGAGTTGAAACCCAGCAGAAGCAATCAAGGTTCAGTCACGTGAATAGCTGTCTTCCAAGCACTCCTATCTAAGGCTAAGTCTTTGGGTATATTTCATCCTTTCAAGTCTCCTTTTATTGCCTCTACCCAAGTCAACTTCGGTCTTCCTCTGCCTCTCTTCACATTACTATCTTGGCTTAGGATTCCACTACGCACCGGTGCCTCTGGAGGTCTCCGTTGGACATGCCCAAACCATCTCAACCGGTGTTGGACAAGCTTTTCTTCAATTGGTGCTACCCCTAATCTATCACGTATATCGTCGTTCCGAACTCGATCCCTTCTTGTATGACCGCAAATCCAACGCAACATACGCATTTCCGCGACACTTATCTGTTGAACATGTCGTCTTTTCGTAGGCCAACATTCTGCACCATACAATATAGCAGGTCTAATCGCCATTCTATAAAACTTGTCTTTTAGCTTCTGTGGTACCCTTATTCGCAGGTCTAATCTCCGTTACTGTTTATTCCTAAAAAATGTAGTAATCAACTTTAGTCTTCAACATCGTTTTGCAGGCCTTCACGCAGAAGGGAGAACTTGCCATGGCATGGACCATTATGCAAACAAGGCAAAAAATACACCAGCTCTTTCCACACAAGCAGCACTTGCGGTTGGCACATATCAGTCACCATCTCCTCCATTTAATACTCCAACTCCAAGTCAATCAGGTCTGCAGTTTGCTTTAGATGAAGAGCTTGACGAGGCTAATTTGGATTTTTCGCAACATTCAGCTATTCCTGTGCAGCACACACCAACTCCACCTAGCTCCAAACGAGTTCCGGCAGAGGTTTCTGAATGGCGTTCATCTACTCCAGTGCAGCACACACCCGTTCCACCTAGCTACACACGAAAATCGGCAAAGGATTCTGAATGTCGACGTGGGAAAAAAACAGAAGAGCAGATCTGCTAGCCCTGACGATGGATTTCATGAGAGGTATCTAAAATTGAAGAGGGAAGAAATAGATCGATTTGCTGCTATTGAGGAGAAGAAATTAGAGGATCCGTACAGCATCAACAAGTGCATTACAGTTCTTGAAGGTTTAAATGGGCTACAAATGGGAGATATATTGGTGGCAGCAGATATCTTCAAAACCAAGGAGAACAGGGAAGTTTTCTTATCCTTTTCTTCTGATGCATTACGCTTGGCTTGGATTACAAGGGAGATTGGGCGTGACTATGTAGACCTTATGGATTAGGAGTTCTCTTTTGGTGGTAGCTACACTTTTGCATTATATAGGGTGTATATACTTGTCAACCCGATGGCATGTGCTTTTGGTTGCCATCTTGGTTACTAGATGGAAATTATGGTCCTAGGAACTGACACTTTATTTTGGGGAAAAAAACATGCAGGTAGTTGCAATGAAGTAGAATACGATTGTCACAAATTAGGAGTACAAGGGTCGTAGTTGACCTAGAATGTCATGTCAGTGAAACATATAATATATTAAGTCCTTCGCGCTATGTAATGATCCCACATCCGCTGTGCTATGTCATTTCGCTTCTGATTTCCAGCTTCTCTGGAATTATTAAATGCACGTATATCACCATTGTAGTTCTGGTCTCCATTTGGTACATCAACAATCTGGTCTGGATCAATCTCTGCATTTGAATTATTTGGCCACGACATATCTCCATTGTGTAGGCGTATGAAGTTGTGTAAAACACAACAAGCAACCGATATGTCAACTTGTTTGTTAACTGGGTAGTGTGAACCAGTCCTTAGGATAGGAAATCTCATTTTTAATATTCCAATAGCTCTCTCAATATGGTTTCTTAGCTGCGCATGTCGAAGATTGAACAACTCTTTGTAATCGCGTGGCTTTTGTCTAGCTCTTCCTTGTTCCTGCAGATGATATATTGTCCCACGATACGGGGAAATAAACTGAGTTGTGTTTGCATAACCAGCATCTACAAGAAAAAAATTACCAGGAGGTATTTCAAAACCACCATGGTTAAGTGCATCTTGTAGAACTCTTGCATCTGAAGCTGATCCCTCCCAGCCAGCATGTACATGTACAAATTTTAGGTCAAAGTCACATGCCAACATAACATTCTGAGATAGTGTTTGCTTCCTGTTTCGATATGGTTCCTGTTGATCTAGTGGAAGTATCATTGGTATGTGAGTCCCATCAATAGAACCAATACAGTCCTACAAGAAACATATCTTTAATTGATTTGTTTAACTTTTTGAAATTAAAAGAATCAAACTGTGCAGTTGTTCATACCTGAAAGAAGGGGTGAAATTTTGGTCTTCTCAAGATCTTTAATCTGATTTTGGTCTCATTACTTGCATTTTTGGCTAGTGCATACAAAAATATAGCAACTTGCTCTTCTACTGAGATAGATCTTGAATCAACAAGTAGTTGTTTCTCACGCAACTTTTGGACCAAAGCTCGGAAAACTTCAACTTCCATACGGAAGTTCCTTTTGCTGAGGCTCTCATGGCCGGTTAAGATTTCATGTACACGACAATCCCCTGATAGTTTTGATGTATGTATGAGTTGCTTACTAGATGATGGTTGTGATGAATCTCCTTTGGTAGGGAGAACAAATAACACGAACTCATCATCATTTTGGGAACGACGTCGATAGTTTGCATCCATGGCAAAATGTGATATTTGTTTACTGTACCAATGCCTGATATTTGAGGGATATGGAAGAAACAAATAAATTTTAACTGAGTACTTACGTGCAGAAAGGAAAATTAAATCAGAGACTTTTACTCACCGTGTGAAGTGGCTGGGCAGATCTCTTGACGTGCTTGGCGATGAGCGGATGGTGTTGGGGCTTCTACGGAGTGCAAATCAGGAAATGCATACTTGCAACAGCTAGCAAATTGTGTTGGGGCTTGTATAAGGATAGACGGTGTGTGTGTGCGCGCGCATCCATACCCCTATTTTATATCAATATTGTGATTTTATCTCTGTTTTTTTTTACTTTGTGAATTTGCCCCTGCTTATTCAAAACGAAGCACCACTTTGTAATATTCCGTCATCCTTCCCTAATGGTGTTAACTTTTGTACCAAAGAACAAATATGCTCTTATGATTTTGCCTTTGGTTTTTAGGGCTATTTGTGATTTTATCCCTAACTTGGAATAAGACACCTATTTGCTTATTGTGATAGAATATAATACACTTTTGTTTTTTCTTTTCTTTTTCTCCTTTTCTTTTTTAATTTATTTTCTTTCTCACTTATTTTTTTCTTTCTCCTCAATCCAATCCGGCTGGGCAGCTCTCCACGGGTTCCTCTGAAAAATATCTCCACATGAGCGGGAGCCTTATCCACTGCACGCAGCTTCTCGCTGCAATGGCCTGGGCAAGTCCGTCCCGCCTGCACGCCGGGCCAAGCGGCGCCGCCGCACTGCACGCATCGCCTCAACCAACGCGCGACGGAGTCCGTCCGCGTGCCTCCGTGCCCGCGCATCCGGCTGCGGCAAGTCGAGCGCCGAGGAGACAAAGCACAGCAGAGCCCAAGAACAAGAAAGTGTATTTCATTCCCACATCCCAATCGATCGAATACAGATGAGAAGCGGGAAGCTGCTCCGCAATCTCCTTCCGTGCCTGCACAAATTTACCGATACCCCCGCCCAAATCTGCCAGAGATCACACCTTTCCACCAAATCTGGCCAGGATGCGGCGCAATCGGCGGCCACGGACCCAGCTCACATAGTTACCGCCCGGCGCCAGCCAGCACCGACGCTGCCAGCCGCAGCGCCACGCTTCAGCGCAGCGCCGCGCGGCCATGAGCCCGCCGGCCGTGCCTCCCTGTCGATGTCGCGCTCCGTGCCCAATAGGCACCGGTGAACACGGTGCGGATGGGATAACTTTGACAAGGGCATTTCAGTCATTTCGCATCTGATTTTATGTGTTTTATTTTTTAAAATCGTTTAATCAGCCTCTAAATAACGGACATCCAAATCAGGGGCAAACTGCTCATTTGTTTCAAAATAATAGGGGTAAAATCACAAAGTTAAAAAAATAAGGGTAAAATCACAATTGAACTTCTGGACAGGGGCAAAAACATCATTTTCTCATGTTTTGCTATATTGCACCTGGGTGCAATCTGTGTACAGAATGCACCTAGGCCAACCGGTGCGTCTTGTCTGGGCAACCGGCCCAACTAACCCACTAATCAGGCGCGCCACACATCTCTACCCTCTCCCACGCCAACACCGCCCCACCAGGCGTGAAAGGCACACAATGAAGTCTTGAACGAGTTGCAATTTGTGTCTGACGGAAGTTGCAATCGGTTGAAGGGTGAGTTGCAATTTATGTCTGTTGAAGATGCAATCGATCGACGGGCTGAGTTGAACCGGTATACAAATGTAGCCGCAACTTCACCGTCCCGAGGCGATTGCTAAATCGCCTACCTAAATGGAATGCAACTGGCCTAACACCAAGGTTGCAATTTGTGTACGACGGAAGTTGCAATCGGTTGAAGGGATGGGTTGCAATTTGTGTACGACTGAAGATGCAATCGGCTGACGAGCTGAGTTAGAACTGGTATACAAACGGAGCTACAACTAGCCGTCCAGGACAGTTGCAACTGGCCTACCCAACCGGAATGTAACTGGCCTACCACTAAGGTTGCAATTTATGTACGACGAAAGTTGCAATCAGTTGAAGGGATGAGTTGCAGTGAGGGCGGCGCCAGGCCTGAAACAGTAGTGGCTGGGTCTCCGGAGATCAAAGTGCTGGGTCAACCAGTCGGACTCGCGATCGTGCACGGCTCGTGGTTTCGCCCAGCGCTCCAGCGTCTCGTGGCTCAAGGCTTCATGTCGGGTGTATTTGTTATACAGAATGCACCTAGGTGTATTTTAGGCTCGTCCTCTATATATATATATATATATATATATATATATATATATATATATATATATATTGTTGGCACTTGCAACGGCTAGCTGTTGCTTCGAATGCATAACGGATAGCAGTTCAAGATTAAAAAAAACGGAAGCATCTAGTTCATATGTTTTATTCCTGTGTTTCGCCTGTGGTCTTGCCAAAGGCCTTCTTTTCAGCTTTCCTTTGTTTTCGATTCCCATGGGAACAGAGAAGCATGACATGTGGATTCCTAAGGTTTCCTATTCCTATACACTTCCTACCTGTGATCCAAAGGAGCCCTAAGTAGGGTACAAGGTCTGGGGCGGCCCGGGTGTTTACACTCTTTGGCTGATATATACTCCTTTTTTCAAAAAATTATAAAATAACATCATACATTATGTTATGTCTCAAATAAGTTTCTTATAAAAATACATTTTATAATTAATCTAATTATACTTATTTTGTATCATAATATTAGTTTTGTACAGTAGGTGCCTACTCAAGAAGCAAGAATTATATTCTTTTTTATAGAGGAAATACAAAATACGTTGACTATATACCTCCTATCACTTTGAGGTACAGTTATAGCAAAGACATGACTAGTGCTCAGAACGCCGGTGCCTGCGGCTCCATTTTCATGTGCATTCGTGCAAACGGTGGAACCTTCGTGCCTCCCCGTCTAAACGCCCGTGCCCCCTCTGCTTCGTGCACCCGCATGCACGCGGGGCCGCACGCCCCTGCCTCCATCCCCCTCCGCATCTCGCGCCCAAGACCCTCGTGCCCCTGCATGCATCCTTACGCTTCTCACGCACATGCATGACACCCTAGCAGCTGCAGCAGGCGGCTGCACCAGACAGATCATGTTGCAGCATGTGCAACACCAGATCTACTTTGCAACATCTAGAGGAAACGGTTGCAACATACGTCTGAAACAGCTAAAACACATGCAACATACGTCTGAAACACTTGCATAAACACATGATAGCCATTGCAAAACATATGCAACATTCAAATAAAACACTTGCAATATACGTATGAAACACCTAAAACACTTAAACATCCTCTTGCAACATGCATGTATATGCAACACCCAGATCTACTTTTGCAACATACAGATAAAACACTTGAAACATACGTCTAAAACACCTGAAACACTGAAAACATATGCTTGCAACATGCGTATATTGTCATCTCAGATATACTTTTACAACATCCAGATCAAATATTTAAAACATAAGTATGGAACTCCTAAAACACTTGAAACATGCCATCGCCGCTGGCCGGACGGCCTACCTAGTAGGGAATTGCGGTAGCCAACAAGCTCGGGTCATGGGGACGTCGGCTAGCCTCCTCTGTCGGACGTCGGCCCGTCGCTCCTCCTGGGATTCTCCTGTGCCTGCTCACTGCCTAGGCTCGCTCCTCGTCAGCGCGGCTTCTCTAGCGCCGCTGCTGCTTGGCGCAGTTGTCCAGCGCCATCCGCTCGTGGGAGATAGGGCGCGACACGGTAGCAAGAGGGTTCGGCGCTGTGGGGGGAGGGCACGGCGCGGCGGGGGACGAGTGCACGGTGGGGGAAGGGGTCGTGGCGAGGCGGAGTGCAGCGGGCATATGCGCGGTGACGCCGCCACCAATGTGAGTGCGAGTGGGGAAATTTTCAAGGATGGAAGAGATGTAGATGTGCTATTGGGCTTGTCTGCTGCACATGCCCTAGAAAGGACGCGTCCGGACGGACAGACAACCATGTGCAAGCATTTGCGATAGAAGAGATATAGAGGTGCCGTTAGGCCTGTCCGCTGTGCAGGCCCAGGAAGGCATGTGTCCGGACGGGATGAACGACCGTGTGCAAGTATTTGCGTTATAGCAACAGTACCTTTTACCAGGGAATTTCTTGACTACTCGCGTATGGTTTCTTTTGCGGTCGTTAAGGCTTTTTCGCAATTTCGCTTGCAACAACGATTGAAGCACTGTTACTTATTAGGACAGTTCTAGAGATCCTTTTGCCTTTTTGTGCTAGTTTTTTTTTCTAAATACATTAATTAATTATTCTTAAGTTTAGATGCTGTTTGTTTCTGATTACTAGGATTTTAGTTTATATTTTTTTTCTTACGAATCACAGTAATGCACACATACTCACGGCCCTCTCCCTCCAGGCTTTGATCCGGTACAAGCTACGTATACAACAGCTGGCCAACCAAGAGTAGTCTACGTTTACTCATTTGCGCGTACTTCGCTGAAAAAAAGCCGAAGCACTGTTTCGACTGATTTGTTGTGAGAGAAAAACACTATTCTAACTGAAAAATAACGAGCTGAAAAAGATGGATTATAAAAGAAATGAACAGGACGATGGAACGAGACTGCTTATGTACAGAATGACGAGCCTACTTGCTCGTTCGTTGTTCAGCCAACGCAATGGAACGAATGAAAAGTGACGGCACATCCTGCTGCTACGTTCGCTTCAGTCCGGCTTATTCAGCCCGTTAGTTTCAGCTGGATTGGCTTATAAGTCATGAGCTAAACTGTTGGCTGGATTAATATGAGAGAAAAATATTATTGGCTAGCTGATATCAGATACTACGTACATGATTATTCATAGTGCGGCTTATTATTCACGGTACAGTCGTTTGCAACATGGAGTTGAGCGACCGTTGAGAGAAACGCAGGTAGAAGTAGGTGCCTTTCTGATGGGAGTTGCCCGCCCCCACCACAGCAGCCGGCCGTTGAGAAGAAGCACGGAACGGAACACGGACAGAGAACGTGCGAGTGCGGCGGATCATCATGACTGACCGGCCAGAACCAGAAACCAGCGCTCGCGGCCCCGCGCGATGCATGCTCCCGCACTAAATGCATGCACGGCGGCACCATCACTCTCCAAGAACATCCGGAGTTCCGGACCCTGTGAGTCTGTGACAGTGATGCCTGCGCTAGCTAGCTGTTAGTACAACACCAAACCGGAGACGAGCAGCGGTAATGGCGGCCGGGTCGTCCTCCTGCTCTCCGGTCCTCCTCCTCCTCCTACTCTTCCTCGCCTCGGCCGGCGCCGGCGCAGGCGAGGCTTCGACGACGTCGACGTCGACGTCGGCCCCGGCGCTGGACCAGGTGTGCGGGAGGTTGGGCAGCTACTACGTGACGCCGTCCCTCTGCTTCTCCGCGCTGTGCGCCGACGCGTCGTCGCCGTGCCGCGCCGCGCGGGACGCGCCCGCCGTGGCGGCGCTCGCGGCCAGGCTGGCGGCCGACAACGCCACGGCGGCCAGGGACAGCATCGAGGCCGTCTTCTCCCCGTCGTCATCCACCTCCTCCTCCCCTGCCGCCGCCGCCGCGGCGGCCGCGCGGTCGTGCCTGCAGCTGTACGCGGGCGCGGTGCCGGCGCTGCGGTGGGCGGCGCGGGCCGTGGCCGCGGGGCGGTACCGCGGCGCGCGGGAGGTGCTGCAGGCGGCGCAGTACGTCGCCGCGGGCTGCGAGGGCATCGCGGGCGACGCGGCCGCCGCGCTGCCCCGCGAGAACGACGGATTCGCTGACATGGCCTTCGTCGCGCACGCCGTCGTCGCCTCCATGTCCACCGACTGATGACTGATCCGCCCACCACCGCTCGGCCTCGCCACGCTGCCCGTAGCTAAGCTACCACGTACTGTAGAATGATGTTCGTTGTAATAATCAAATCCGCTGCTAGTATCGTGCTGCCGTGTCCATCGATTCATTAACCGCACAACTCATTGTGTTTGGGTTTTCTCTGTGTAAATTCAGTTTGCGCTTCATCGATCTGATCTCCTGTCTCCCGAACCTAAACCGAACGAAGCAGTGGTTGGATTTTCCAGAGACACAATCGATATCTTTGTTTCGAAATTTCTCGGCATGGAAAGGAAGTACAGTAAAAAATAGTAACGTACATGTACGCCCTGTTCACTGGTCTGAACTTTGGCTAAAACCGGCTAAAAAATACGGTTCCGGCTGAATTGTTGTGAGAGGAAAACACTGTTCCGGCTGAAAAAACAAGCCGAACAAGCCAAACTTGAAGACAAGCGAACGGGGCCGTAATACAATAATGCACTGTAATAATAGGTAAGCATGCAGCATGGGCTTGTTTAGATTGGGGTTAGGAATCAGTATTTGACACTATAGCACTTTCGTTTGTATTTGACAATTATTATCTAATCATGGACTAACTAGGCTCAAAAGATTCGTCTCGTAATTTACAATTAAACTGTGTAATTAGTTATTTTTTTATCTACATTTAATACTCCATACATGTGTCCAAAGATTTGATGTGATGGAGAAAGAGTGAAAAAACTTGCAATCTAAACAAGGCCCGTGCTTCAGTTTTGCTGAATCCTCGTGAATGTGTTTTGACCACCAGTAGATCTCACGGCGAAGGTAAATTCGCATCAAGGCCATGTTTAGTTCACTCTAAAATCTAAACTTTGGCACTATGTAAAAAGAAGATTTTCTGTCACATCAATTTTGCGGTACATGCATAGAGTACTAAATGTTGATGAAATCAAAAACTAATTGCACAGTTTGATTGTACTTTGTGAGATAAACGTTTTGGCCCCGTTCGCTGGTCTAAAACTTGGCTGAAACTGGCTGAAAAACACTGTTCCGGCTGAATTGTTGTGAGAGAAAAACACTGTTCCGGCTGAAAAAAGAAGCCGAACAAGCCGAATATGGGGTAAGCCGAACAGGGCCTTTGAGCCTAATTAGTCAACGATTAGACAATTATTACAAATACAAAAAAAAATGCTACAGTGTGCTACAGTACCTACAGTATTTTCGGCGGCGCCGATTCCAGGGCAACTTAGGGCCTGTTTAGTTGGCAAGATTTTTTTGTTTTGGGTACTGTAGCACTTTCATTTTTATTTGTCAATTAGTGTCTAATTATGGACTAATTAGGTTCGAAAGTTTCGTCTCACGATTTCTCACCTAACTGTGTAATTAGTTTTTTTTTCGTCTACATTTAGTACTCCATACATGTGCCGCAAGATTCGATGTGATGGATACTACGCAAAAAATTTTGGGTTTTAAGTGAAACTAAACAGGTCCTTAAACATGGCCCAATTAGGATTTAGGGGTACCAGAAAAGCTGAGGCCTGAGGAAGACGACGGCGCATTCATTGTTTGTTCAACCTCCCAACGGCCACCGTTATTGCGACGAGAACACAACTCCGGTGATGGACGCAGGCGTCGCGTGCATGCATTGATTAGCTCACCTACCCCTACCCCCTAACCTCACTGTGCGTGCATTGATAAACACCCACCCCACAAACCACGCTTGCATGTCGCACAGCAAACGCCCACCAACGAGCAAGCCATGAGCAGGAGGACCACCGCCACGCTCCTCGCCGTGGGCGCCGCCGCGCTGTGCTTCTCCAGCTTCTACAGCGGCGCGGCGGCGGCGGCGGACACGGTGGCCGACTCGTGCGACGCGATCCGCGACTTCGTGGACGTGGCCTTCTGCGCGTCGCGGCTGGGGTCCGTGCCGTTCGCCGCCTCCGCGGACCGGCACGGCCACCTGCTGATGGCGGCGGACCTGGCGGCTGCGAGCGGGGCCTCGGCGCGTGACGCCGCGGCGGGGATGGCGCGGCGCGACGGCGACGGCGAGGACGCGCGGGACGCGCTGGAGGCGTGCGGCATCCTGTACGGCGCCGCGTCGGTTCCCGCGCTGCGGCTTATGCGCGGCTACGCGGCGGCGCGCGCCTGGGGCGCCGCGCGCGCGCTGCTGCCGCTCACGGGCCAGGCCGGGATCGGGTGCGACGCCGCGCTCGCGGGCTCCGCGACGGCTAAGGCACGGATGGCCGCTGCCAACCGCGAGTTCGACCAGCTCTCCACCATGGCCACCGCGCTCCTCAACAAGCTCACCTAGGCCAGGCACTCCAGCTGCGGCGGCGCGCCATGCCACTCGTGCCGCCGTCCCTGCGTGGGCGTGGCGTGCGAGCTGCCGTGACGGTGATGCGGAAGCTGCTGCTTCTTGTGTCGAATCAATAGTGCAATCAACCACTGATTTCCTGTGTTTTCTTTGTTGCGTCGTAGAAGTAGAGTAGCAAGTAGCCTGTACAATCTGCAATGCCGTTGTTTGGGCTCGGCGGCTCGCAATGGCATGGCGCTGTGTACTGTGTAAGTAAAGTGATGTTGGCATATGTATAGCTGTGATTTGTGAAGTGTGAACTCAGTTGCTGCTTGCCATTCAGCAGCTCTTCCCAGATCTTCTCAAAAACAAAAGATTTTCCACATGTCAGCTGACCCGCATTTGCCGTTCGCTTGTCTTAATCTGTACTTTTCAGCTTGTTTTTTCAGCCGGAACAGTATTCTTCTCTCATAATAAATTAGTCGGAACAGTATTTCGGCTTGTTTTTTCAGCGAAGCGAACGGAGCCTATACATAACTTTGCTAGAAGCATATACATAACTAACCCATCCTGTCTGCTCTGTTCCTCTTCTTCAGTTGCTCTGCAGATTGAATACTGTTCACAAGGACCAGCCACAAGATTTTTTTTATTTTGTTTATTATACATACGAGGAAGGTTGAGATTTGCACACGAAAATGTTATTGCTCCGTACACTGATTTGGTTGAACACGTTGTAGATTTTTTTTTTCCAGAGCCCAATTAACTTGATCAGGATCTTCAGATGGGCGACACAGAGGTTAGCAGACTGCACCTTGGAGTACGGACGACTTAAGGGTGCACCAAATGTTCCATCCAAATAATCTGGATCTGAAGTATGTTGGGCTCAACAAATCTTGAACTAACTTGGAAACTCTTTCCACCAAATATCTTCATTTTAATTCACAACTGGCAAGCTTTAACAATTACTACTTGATTCCATTTTCAGTCTTATGTATATGCACAACACATGCCCTATACTGCCTGCCCGTATTCCTATACAGCCTGCCCCAAGGTTAAACTTGCAATTGGTGTAAGAAAGATGATATTGATTTGATGGAAGGGTATAAAGCGGAAAAAGAGAGGAGGCTTTGTTAGGATCGTAGGATTGGTACCTTTGTGTGTAAACCGTAGATCCGTAGTTAGGCTCCTCGACCTTGCGGAGCTACACCGCAGCGGCAGCGTGGACGCCGATGCCGCCCTGGATGCAGCCTCGCGGATGCCAGTGCCGAGGCAGCTCTGACTCGGTGGCGAGGTACAGTGGTGGCGGCGGAGACCCAATCCAGTGGCGCCGGCGGTGTCCCTGCATAGGCGACGGCGGTGGTGGTGGCGGGCTCATCCCGTCGCTGGTAGCACGCTTTAGGATCGGATTAGGGTTTCTCTGTAGGTGGGTGGCGGCTCCGTTGAACCTCGTCGTCCGAGCCCTCATCCCCACCTTCCTTTTATGTGTGCTGTGCGACAGGGGCCCACCAACCGGATTAGGGTTGGGCTCCCCCGATCAGAGAGCCGAGATAAGGGCCCAATAGGCCGTTGGGCCTATTGGTGGAGATCAACTAACATTCTCCCCCTTGATCTCATTCCATCTTTCACTTTCATATCATTTACTTTTGTTCATTCCATTACAGATTAGCTCATAGAGCATGTCTCATCGTCACGGTCCATTGTCGATAGACTTAACAGCTACAACTCACTACTCTGTTCTGAAATAGATACTTATCTTTGAGCCTTCGGACGGTGCAGATTCACCGGGCCGGCTTTCAGCCCAGGCGGGTGCGCGCGCCAGGCCAAATTCCTGGCCCAGGCCCAGGTTGCGGCCTGGGCGCGGGGGAGAGCGCGGGAAGCGCCCACGCGGGCGTGGGCCGTGGGCCGCCTTGCCGTTTTGGGCCGAAAGAGCAGTACAGAAAAGAATGAGTTTTTCCTGATAGCTGATTTTCTAACTCTTTGAGACCTTTTAGTGGCCTCAACATTTGGCACATCTTCTGTTTGAGGCTGTTGTTGCTCCCCCTCATGTGTGGCAATTGGTTCTATTGGATCCTGAAGAACAGGTTCCTTATTTTCACTCATTTTTGCCACAGGTGGGATAACAACAGGTGCTGGCACCACAGTATCTAGCACTGTCGGTGCAGCTACAGTAGGTAGTGAGAAAATTGGCTCATAAATCATTAGAGTGGGCGCTTACACCCGCTTCACTTCAAGGTCAATTTCTCGAGCTACCATGCTCCCCCTCATCAATTTGTCCTCTAGGAAGACAACGTGTCTCGTTTTCCACAAACTTTATATGTCTCTCTGGACAGTAGAAAACGAAAACTTTTTGACTTTTCTGTGTAGCCAATAAAATGGCAACTTACTGTTTTGGGATATAACTTCCCAATGTTTAGGTTAAATACTTTAGCCTCAGCAGGGCTCCCCCACACACACGCAAGTGGTTTAGTGAGGGTACTCTTTCTGTCCACAACTCATACGGTGTTTTGGGCACCGACTTTCTTGATACTCTATTGAGAATATAAATGGCGGTTTTAACGCCTTCATTCACAGGTTCAACTGTAAGGTGGAGTAACTTATCATACTGCCCACCATATCCATCAGGGTACGATTGATTCTTTTAGATACTCTATTCTGCTGAGGTTCGCTCGATGTAGAATACTGAGCTACTATGCCATTCTTTTAGGGTATGCCGACCGTAGTACTCCCC